ACCACCTCTCTGGGCAGGCCATTCCAATGCCTGATCACTCTCTTCTTTCTAATTAGAACTTCTTTCTAATGTCCAACTAATGTCCCTCACCCTGGCTCTGAGAAGGCAGCAAACCTCCCTGTGGGATGGGTCTGGTTGACAGGTATGGCCCTCAGTTCTCCTCAAAAGGGAGTCACCTACTACAACTACCCTTTTTTTTTTTTTTTTTGTAAGCCATCTGGTAGACACGGTGCAGCCTGCAGAGAGATCTTCCTCTTGCCTGACCTCTACTTGACTTTTTGAGTATAGGGCCTCATATCTGTTGTTCAAGGGCACCTGGGGAGGTGATGGTGTTTGAAAGGCTGTCTGTCCCGGAGCTGGCTGGCATTGGCTCTATGGGACAGGAGAAGCTTCTAGCAGCTTCTTACAGAAGCAACTGCTGTAGCCCCCACCCGACCCACAGAAACTCACGACGTCATCCCAGTCACTTAGTTCTTCTAGCAATCTAACGTAGCGCAGGAAGGACATGGACCTGTTGGAGCAGTTCCAGAGGAGGGCCACAAAGATGATCAGAGGGTTGGAGCACCTCTACTACAAGGAAAGACTGAGAGAGCTGGCAGCATTGTTCAGCCTGGAAAAAAGGTGGCTTTGGGAAGACCTTATTGCAACCTCTCAGTACTTAAGAGAGGGCCTATGAAAAAGACAGGGACAAACGTTTTAGCGGGTACAAGGTGTAATGATTTTAAACTAAAAGAGGGTTGTTTTAGATTAGACATAAGGAGGTTTTTTAAAATGTGGGTGGGAGGACACTGTAACAGGTTGTCCAGAAAAGTTGTGGATGTCCCATCCCTCAAAACATTCAAGGTTCAGATTGCATGGGACTCTGAGCAGCCTGGTCTAGTTGAAGATATCCTTGCCCATGGTGAGGGCACGGTGAAACATACGCTCACCTGGACCTGAGTTACAAAAACCTGTAGTTTTCACATACGCATCCTGTGTCATACAAATCCTCATTAGAGGAAATAGGACTGTTTGAGGACACACTTGGGTTCCTAAAAGCACTGCAGAAGCCCTAGAATAATTAATATATGTGTAATGTGGATATGCATCCATTTACTCTGTAAAGCAATTGAAAATTTACTGAGAACCAAATGATGATGATGTTATATGATTTTAGAATAAAGTTACGCAATGTGAGAGAGGAATCTTCAACTGATGAACTGTTTAAGCACCAAAGATGATACCAAATGCCAGAGATCTGCTTCACTTTCCTTATTTTTCTTGAACTTTATGTTCTTGTCCATTCTCTATACTTCAGGTTGACTGAAATAGAAGGAGGCAAGACTGTGAGCTTTTCTGATGGCTGAAGTGTATGGCTGTCAGAACTAGTCATAGAATCTATGAAGATTAAGGAGTATCTTACTCAGCTCTTAGGCCATGAGCTTATAATCTTGGTGTCACAGCAAGAACTCCATCCAGACCTATATTACTGTCTCCTGACAGTCCAGCTGTCAAGTTGTTGAACACTATAGATACCATAAATATCCTTGTGCAGTCATATGAGAAGATTTTTTCTCAAACTAAGATTTTGGCTATGGTGTGATTTGTTTCAGGGTTTTTTTAATTCTCGAATATCAGATTCTATGCTGCTTCTCTGGCTGAAGTGGTTGATGTTTGTTGAGCACAAAGTCCTTCTTTGTGATTTCTGCTTGTCACCTCTCAGTCTGTTGATAATTGTTTTTGCTTTTTGTTTTTATTCTTGCTTTACTTCTTTTTCATTTGTCAGAGATGCAACTTCCATTGTGAATCCCATGGAATCTTTGTTGCTGATAAGTGGGATAATCAGCTGTTTTGAAGAGTAGTCTTTTTGTTATCTTGCCTGAAGGACTGGATTCAAGATGTTTCAAGCTGCTGCATACTGTAGGATAGTTCATGGAGGAAAAAAAATGGTCCTGAAATTTCACCTTAATGTGACCTTGATTTTTATCTAAACTGACCAACTAATTGTTTCTGACACAGAGAACTTAATAGAGTGTGTATCTCTGTTTGGCTAAATTGAAACTGTTGCCTTATCCATTTTGTTGCTGTAGTCAAGCAGTTTTATAAGATTAATGTTTTTCTTTAATGCACTACTTAGTATTTTCGTTCTAGAGTTTATAGTGGCTGATTTAGTGTATTCTAATTAGACTTTGATTGTCACTCTGATTTCCTTCATCCCAAGAAGATACTGATAGCTGATACAGATTTATAGTAACTTGTGTTTTGTATCTGTACCTGCTGCTGCTGTTTTGTTGTGGCTTGCAAGGTTTTAAAAGGTAGAAATTAAAGGAGAAGTCCCTTGGCTTCTTTTCTTACCAGGCAGGATTTTAAATCATAGTAATAATTTATGGAGGATTAGATTTCTTGAAGATGTCTGTGTACCTATCACTGGATGACAGCTTCATAAAGCAGTCAGAGTTTGACAGACTGTAGTGGTGTAAGAGTTGATGTGAAGATTTCACTTTTGATTCAGAAGACATGTCAAGCAACCTTGACATTAATAAAGAGTTCAAGCAGTAATTTCTTTCTTTAGGTCAAACTCTACGATATCTTTACTGATATCTTTGAAACCTTTTAAACATTTACAAAATTACTTGATTTGACTTGCCAAATAACAATCCTAATACAACTCACAAATAAGTTCTGTGGTTGGGAAAAGTTTGTCTATGCATACAGTCTTTAAAATTTTATTTAAAATAATAAACCCTTTCTTCCCTCCTTCTCCATTTTCCCAGAAAAGTTTCTGGCCCTTGAAATGCAGTATTGTGCAAGTGAAATAAGTTTTAATTTTTGCGTTGTTTAGAAGTTGGTGCATATTTAAAACATAGAGTAGGTAAAGCTGTACAATTGTTTCAAATATATATTCATTGGGTGGCTTCATGGTTTATAACCTTACTGAATTCCGAAGACTATACTTGTTTATATATCAACACATTCATAATTATGTAGCATTATAATTGATTCTGAGCAGCCAAACAAAGTCCTCACTTCTGAAAAGTGGTATTTCTACGCTAACTAGCGCAGACCACATATATAGTGTCCAATGTCTGTTGCTCAGTGCAATGTACTGAGAGTCTTGGTGTTGTGATGCCGTAACTTTAGTTTAAAAATGCTTTATATTTTTGAAAGTTGTATCTCTTATTTTGCTTATCCTTATTTCTGTTAGAATATTAATAGTTTTGAAGGGCTGGAATAGATCCATGTGTAAACTAATTCTTGGCACAAAAAAAGTTTCCTTATTTCACCCAAATCAGCACTTTATACAAAAAGTCAAGTGATTAAAATCCTGATTAAAGGTAGCTTCCAGTGCTGATTAAGGTTGCTGTAAATGGTAAATTAAAATTTTCTTATACTGTAAACTAACACTTTCTATATAGAACATTCAGGTCTCGCTTTCAGCATATTTCAGAACTAATACCAAGTTACTTGTGCCCTTGATTGAAGAAACAAATATAAATCTGCTCCATTATAAATAAAAAATCTAAGCTGCTCTTTTTCAGTTCCTCCACTTGGCCCAGTTACTTAGAGAAAGCTCAGTGAAAAGAACTGAAACTGTTGCCTGAACTTAAATTCTTACTCAGTTCAGGTCAATTCTAGCAGCATTTTTCTTATGTTTCACACTCTGTAACACTTACCTATTAACACTGTTTAAAGATTTTTTTTTCCTTCTCTCTCTAATTATTAATTTAATAGATTGAATAGAGTAGCTAATTTCTGAAGGAATTACTGTACTTAATTTTGTAAAAAGAGTGAGCACTGTATTTCTGTTGGAGTAGGGGGTGGCAGTTTTATTGCATAGTCCCTACATCATTTCTGTATCTTACTGTGGTGAAAGCAGGTTTGTCATCAGTTCTTACAGTAACAGTGTTGCAGCAAGCTAGTCAGTATAATCAAAATGTCTGTCTTTTGCTGACTGATGTCTTAATGAATCTGTATCCTGTGACTTCATGTATATTTCTTGCCTGTATGTCTATTCAAAACTTCCTCTTAAAATGTAGAGCTTGTAATACTGATATTCTAATTTTGAATACATAGAAAAAGTGTATCACAAAATATACTGAGTGGGAAAGGACCCACAAGGATCATCAAGTCCAAGTCCTGGACCTGCACAGGACACCCCAGGAATCACATCATGTGCCCGAGTCCAAATGCATCTTGAACTCTGTCAGGTTTGGTGCTGTGACCTCTTCCCTGGGTAGCCTGTTTCAGCACCCAACCACCCGCTGGGGGAAGAATGTTTTCTAATATCCAATCTAAACCTCTCCTGACACAACTTCAGGCTGTTCCCTCAGGTCCTGTCACTGGTCACCACAGAGAAGAGATCAGTGCCTGCCCCTCCTCCTCCCCCCATGAGGAAGCTGTGGACTGCCATGAGGTCTCCCCTCAGTCTCCTCTTCTTCAGGCTGAACAGAACAAGTGACCTCAGCTGCTCCTCACAAGCTTCCCCTCAAGGCCCTTCACCATCTTCTCTACCCTCCTTTGGACACTCTCTTAAGAGCTTAATATCTTTCTTATTTTGTGGTGCACAAAACTACACAGAATATTCAAGGTGAGGCTGCCCCAGTGCAGAGCAGAGTGGGACAATCCCCTCCCTCGACCAGCTGCCTTGATGTCCCCCAAGACACAGTTGGCCCTCCTGGCTGCCAGGGCCCTGCTGACTCAGATTCAGCTTGCCATTGACCAGGACCCCCAGGTCCCTTTCCATGGCTCTGCTTTCCAGCATCTCATTCCCAGTCTGTAGATTTATTTGGAGTTGCCCCATCCCAGGTGCAGAATCCAGCACCGTCCCTTGTTGAACTTCATATGGTTGATGATTTGTGTACTCTGAACCTGGAAACCTTTGCTGGGAGTAGCTGCAAGGAGAGATAAGGAAATGAAGATTAATATCTCTGTATAAGCTTTAATCTTTATGCATTGTTCTGGAAATCTGCTTTATTCCTGTGAGCTGATTGAAGGTTGACTGTAATTACTTTATATTGCAGATGAGCCAACACGTTCCTTGAGTGGTCTTATCTTGAAGAATAATGTAAAAGCACATTTTCACAACTTTCCAAATGGGGTAACTGACTTCATTAAAAGTGAATGTCTGAACAACATTGGTGATTCGTCCCCCTTAATCAGAGCTACTGTAGGTAAGTTTACTCTTATTACTGTATTCTTCATACTGAAAATGTTACTGATATGGGTGAGAGCTGCACTAGTGACATAAACAGGTATTGAACTCCTAAAACTGTTTACTTTTGATAATTGTCACATTTTAATGGTACATTTCATGATATTTTAATATTTTCCTTTACTGGGAATATAAAAAGGCATGCTTTTGATTCTTACTATCTTAGAATTAATACAGCAATTCAGTTCATATTTCTTGAAATGTCACTGAATGTAAGACTCTTTGAATCTACTAAAATTGAGCTTACTACCAGCTTCTCAACCTAAAAACAGGAATACGGTAAAGGTCTGACTTAACTACTTCAGTACTTTGGTTGCGTCAAGGAAACACTTCTTTTACCTGATTTCCTGCGTTCCACTGCCCATATGCACACACATGCACAATCCTTTCAGGGAATCATCGTACCATGAATAAGGCATTCACATAAGGAGGTTCTGTTCTTAAATATGTTCTGTCAGAGAATAGTAGATAAAGTGTGGTGTACAGAACTTCATGGAATCATAAAATGGTCTGGGTTGCAAGAGACCTTAAAGATCATCTAGTTCCACTGAGAAGTTTCTTTTTTGTTACACAAATTTCTGCTTTTGTAAATACTTTGTTTTGGTACACATCTTTTGGAAATTATGTTTATTTGTATTATTTTAACTTACTTCAAGGTAAAGTTGATTTTCTGTGTGCTGTTCGAGAATGTGATTTTCTCCAGTATTGTAGTAATTTTCCTTTTCTGCTCAAAAAATAAAAAAAACATAAAATATCTATTTGATTACTCTCGAGAAAATGGGTATGGGCATCACTTCAGAAAGAAACTCAGCTTGTGTTGGCTGACTCCTTATAAAATAATCTACCAGTTACTATTCATTTAGAATCCTTTGCTTTTTCTATAGAATTCTTTCTCCAGACATTCTAGTATAGACTAGAGAGAGATACTCATTTCTTAGCTTTTTGCTGCTGTCTTGTCACTTGTGAGGCTGCTTTACTATGAATTTTATTAATGTTCCATGTTCTTAGTGATAGTAGAAAAATGTCTCTGAGTGGCAGGTACATTTGGGTTTCAGGCTATAGAAGAGTCACTCTTACTTGTTTATTCATAGGAATTTTCAGTGGAGTACAATGGAGATGACTGAAGAAAATATTCCAGTTCCACTTGGATTGCTATCTTAGGGTTGTTTGCTGATGATCTGTGGGGTGATTTTTTGAGGGAGGCAGGGATTATTTGTTTTCAAGCAGTTACTCTTTAATTTTTCCTGGTACGAAGTGCTTGCGGATTAGTAGCTCAATTATTGTTCAGCTTTAAGTGACCCTTGCAGGGATTTTTCAGCATATGTGTGCTTGCGTAAGTGTTGCTGTTTAGCATGTGCTTTGCACTCTCTGAATTGTTGGATCTCTGGAGCCATCTCTCTTAGTAATGATGTTGGTCTGGTACCTGCTTGTTTTTTGGTACTACTTAAGTGTAAATAAATTACTACCTACCTTCATAGCATGAGTTGGCATGTGCAAGTTAGAGCTACTCTTTTTGATGAGTATGGGGTTTTGCAGTTCAAGCACTATCACTTTAATGAGCCATTTGCAAATAAGATCTCAGGAATTCTGAGAGCAAGATGAGCGAGTACATCAAAATAAAGAATCAGAGAAGATTTAATGCAGGATTTGCTCTTCTTTGTGGTCTCCAGCATCTAGTACTAACCAGATGAATGCAGATACCTTTTGGCCAAGACAGGCAAGCTGATTAATCCCGTCCTCCAAAGTCACCTTGCTGAGGAGAATGAGCATGGTAATAGCTGATTTTAGAACTGTGACTTGAGATCAAATAATTACCACACATTGTTGTTTCTTGTCTTATCCTTTTTTTAATCCCCAAAAGAGTAACAGAGTGTAATTTCTCTGTGCTGTGTGGTACAGGTTTTAAAACCCTGTGTGCTAACTTTGAAATATGGATTCAAGTTCAAGCTGCATTTGTGAGAACCCACAATTTTACCAGGATATAAATGCATCTCTTTTGGAAGTATCTGCAACTGTTCTTAAAACTCTCTAAGAATTCCTGTCTAAGGCATGACCTCAGTGTAGTTCCCACTTAAAAGCGAGCAGGAAAAATAGTTTGAGCATTTAAGAGTAATAGTAGGACTGGAGAGCTTCACTTCAGGAGGAAATTTAAAGCTAATGATTGCCCTGTGAGGCGAAATTTTGTTAGGAAATTAAGCTTTTAAGAGTTAAGGAGTTCAGAAATCAATGTTAGGAGCTACAGAGTCTTCCAAGAACCACCATCAAAACCCTAGCCTTCTCCCTGTCCTGTTATTGGCATAAAAGTACTGAAGCATAGCTGCTTTGTCTTTATGTTAAATTTTTCATTTTTGAATTGATGCTGTAAACTGGGGTTCATGTAATTGAAACAGTGACATAAAAGATGTTTTCAAGACGAGTAAGCTTTTGTTTTTAAGAGTTTCTGACATCCCTCTGGAGTTGGTTCTCTCTTGTATTTACTGCTTAATTAGCCCCATTGCTGTATTAGTTAGATTTCACATTTCTCAAGTGAAATATCTACAGAATATATTCTGTAATACTGTTTTGAAGTTAATTACAAAACGAAGACCATCTTTATAAAGACTTTCAGTTTCAGCTTGCTAACCTTGTAGCTTAGTATGATGGCCAGAAGGCAGGCCCTTGTCTAGCCCAAAGCTGTCAAAAAGCTACTACACTGATTTATTTCTTTACTTTGCTTATTCTTCTGATGTCCATGTTTCTGTGCCTGAAGGGTTGGAGAGAAAGCCACGAAGGTGTTGGTCTTTTCTCTGGTGTCTCTGTTCCTTGCTGGCCAAATAAAGCAGCTGTGTGGGGAAAATTTCACTTTTGGAAGAAGATGCTCATTGGAAGCCCATGAAGATTCTTTTCAGCATGAACATAAGTCCCTGAAACTTAATTTTATGGCTGCTTCCTGATTGTTCTTAAAACTTTTTGCAAAGTGTCAAATGCAATAACAGTTACCCCTCTAAGTTCCTGGTAGTCTGATATTACTCTCTTTTTCGCTTTGTCTCTACCAAAGTGTTTCTTCAACATTTCAAAAACACAAGCAGAGTGTTAAATGGCTTTCCCACAGATCTGTACAGAAAGCTCCTAATGGCATGTATGATCTGAACTGCATACATCTTTGTTGCAAGGGCCAGTGGCCTCAAGTCACTTCTTGCCTATGCATCTGGAAGTATTTCCTCCTAGTTTATCCTGTTGCTGCCTGGAATAGGCCTTTTGGAAAAACACTGAATGTGGGGTTTGAATTCAGTAGTTTCCTTCAGCTGTGAAAGCTTGGACATATTAGAAATATAGCCAGACCATTTGTCATCTTCTGAAAACACTTCAAGACCTTGAAAAGATGTTCAGCCAACTCTTTTCCTAAAACTGCCTACCCTTTGAGAGTAGTAATACAATTTGTGTCACATGTCCAGCTTACATTTGTTTGTGAACTTGTATTAAATGTACAAAGAAAGTTGTGCCAGATCTAAGTTAAAGAGACAATTTTACAAATTAAGTGCTTTGACTAGGAGGCAACAAAGTTAATTTATTTTGTTATTTTTGTAAAAGAAAATGCTCCGTGAGATAAGTATTTTCTAGTAATGCATCTGATATTCTTTACAGGATGATAATATTCAGGAAAAATGCAGTCTTTTAAGACTCCATAATCTCCATAGGCTTTTGGGAATCTTTTCTATTCAGTTGCAGTTATGAAGAGAACTGGATACAAACTACTTCTGGAACTGTAAAATTGTATTTAGCTTGTGTCTTAATTTTTGCACTTTCTGGGTTCTCCAGCCTATTGCATCAAAGGAAACATGATGCAAAATACTGTTTAGTTGCTGTGTGTCCTATCCAGAGTGTCCTTTGCTCTGTAATGTTGTCCTGTATTCTTGTGTTTTTAACAAGAATTTTAACATTTTATTCCAAAGAAAAATGATATGTTCTGATTAGCTCAGTGAAAAAGCTTGGGAAGCTTTTTCCATCACTTTTCACTTGAGAGATTACTAGCTATAATAGTATTAAGTTCTGTGTTCATACTCCTTAGAAGTAACTGCCAGAAGCAGAACAGATTATGCTATCTGTTTCATTTTGTGTTGAGGCAAAATGAACTCATCCAAACTCAGTCCTAGTTTTATAACCTGCCTTCTTGGTTCTTGTCACCTAATTAGTTTTTCTGGAAACAGAATTAGTGACTCTCTGAGTTGACCTGTCTGTTTGCTGGATCTCACAGTTCATAACTGGCTGACCTGCCTAAGTATTTAAGCTCTTATTAGGTCTTAGAATGTGTCCTTAATGTTTTGTGTAGGCACAGTAAAGTTGCGAACACATAATTTAGCACTCGATTGTAAGTTTATTTGACAGATTGCCACATTCATGCTTTTGTATTATGTATATGTATAAATGTTGTCAATTATTATTTCCTTAAATAAAATTACTTATGCTTGATTTCTAATGTCTGAGCCCTTCATGGTAGCAGGAAGGAACAACCCACCTTTGTTTTTCAAAGCTCTTCAAGTAACACATGCAATTAAATGTACTTTCTTTTTTTATGCATGCCAGTTTTTAACAAAACAAGAAATCTTCTAAGTTCTAAGATATCTGAGATGAGAAAAATAAGAAAAATTTATATGAACAATGCGAAAGTACGTGAGAGCTCATTTCCTTCATTATTCTGTTTCCTTTAGGCATTCTGATAACAACCATTGCTTCAAAAGGGGAATTACAGAATTGGCCAGAACTCTTGCCAAAGCTTTGCAGCCTGTTGGATTCTGAAGATTACAATACCTGTGAGGTAAGGAGATTTATAGAAAATTAAAGAGTATCATCTGAATTTGATTATTTTTATCTCTTTTCAGAGAGACTTTGTATATGTATAGTATTGTGTGCATGTCTGTGTGTCTTATACATGTTCGTGTGTTCTCCTTGAAGAACACTGACTCAGTTTGATACCTTTTTTTCTACCTGCAGTCCATGTCCTTACTGTTCATTCAAATGAATTTGTTTTCTTTGCATAAAAGCAGAATAAGATTGCAGATGGATAGTCGTCATTTCTCAGCTGAGAAGTGTCCTGAAGTTACTACTCTGTGATACCTAATCTTTTAGGCATCATCAGTGTCATTAAGTTGACCCTAAATTTTCTCTTACATAAAAGTAGTGTTCGTTCTTATTGTAATTTAATCCGGAAAAGTGATCTGTGATTGCTTGATCACCCCATTTGAATTACTTGATACTGTCTCCATGAAAGTGTATGAAACATTTTGTATAAAGTGATCCTCAGAGATGACTGATGGTCCAAGATGCCATGCTGTCATGCAGTGTTTTAGTGCTGCTTTCTCTCAGAAAAAGAAAAAAACCGCTTGAAAATGGAACTCAAATTGAGTGTTATCTGTTTTGCCCCATAACAAATCATGAAAGGAAATACATTTTTATATGTAATAAATTGGATACTCCTGCCCCATTCTATTTATTTATCAAATAAGAACTAGCTTTTAAACATTTTTAAAAATACGATTGAATAAATGAGCACTGAATGAACGGAATAAAACTGAATTTATCACATATCCATTACTGACTCACACAGCTTGTGAGCTGGTGGATGTTGGTTTAAATAAAATGCCTTTAAGGATATTTCAATTTAATCTGTATTTAGTTAACTGCATTTACAGTGTTAACTAACTACATTTACTGTGTTGTGCTGAAATTACCTGTTGTATACGAAGTCTGAAATTTGGCATTATTCAGAATGTGAAAGATTTTATTTATTTATTTATTTACTTACTTATTTTTAAACAGGGTGCTTTTGGTGCTCTTCAGAAAATATGTGAAGATTCTGCTGAAATTTTAGATAGTGATGTGTTGGACCGGCCACTCAATATCATGATACCTAAGTTCTTGCAGTTCTTCAAGCATAGCAGTCCAAAAATACGGTAGGTTTATGTATTATACTTGCAGTTACCTGTAGACTTTATGTTTAAATTTTATTTATATGAGCAGCAAGGCTGCTATTTTGTAGATTTGTTTAAAATCTGCTTAGTTTTTTTAAATAATCTTGCAGAGATCAACAAAGATTCCATGCATCAGTAATTTCCATGTTTGTCTGCTTATTTAATGTAACAATCTCACCTCTCAGTGATTTTGAAAATCAAATTGTTTCTTTTAAGTTTTTGCATATTATTTTGAAAAATTCAGTGCTGGCGGTTGTACTTAGTATTATGATTAGAAATAATAATTTTGCATTCCTTTTTAAAGGCTTTAGCGATGGGACCATAAAAATTCTTTCGCTGACAAAAGTTTCTGAGTTTTGGTGAAAAAAGTTCTGGTTTTAAGTGAACTTTCACCTGAATCAAATTGAATGGGCTCATGATCTTTTCACTATAAAACTATATTAAATCTCTCCAAAATAACAGCATAGAAAAAAAATTCCAGAATTAAGTTGTTATTTCTAATATTTGTTATGAAGAACAGTACCTAGAGTGCCCCTGCTGCAAAAAAAGCTAACGGGCATCCTGGGCTCGAGTGTTGCCATCTGGTTAAGGGAGGTGATCCTTCCCTTCATCTTCCAGATCAGGCCACATCTGAAGTACTGTGTCCAGTTTCTGGACAGTTCAGTGCAAAAGAGTCATGGATATACTGGAAAGAGTCCAACAGAGGTCTGAGGAAAGGCTGAAAGAGCTGGGACTCATCAATGTGTGTAAATACCTGAAGAGAGGGAGGAAGAAAAGACATGTCCAGGCTCTTTCCAGTGGTGCCCAGTGACAGAACCAGAGGCAGTGGCCACAAACAGAAACTAAGAAGGTTCCCTCTGAACATAAAAAACAGTTTTTTACTGTGAGAGTGACCAAACCCTGGCACAGGTTGCCCAGAGAGGTGACGGAGTCTCTATCCTTGGAGATACTCAACAGCTAGCTGGGCAACTGGCTGTAGGTGGCCCTGCTTCAGCAGGGGGATTGGACCAGATGACTTCCAGGGATGTATTCCATCCTCAACCATTCTGTGATATTCTTAGTGATTCTGTGAAATGTGTTTTAACTCCTGTTTGAAAAATATATTGAAAGATTTGACAACTTGAATGTGGCAGTTCTTTACTGCCAAGAGTAGTAGATAGTAAAGACTGAGGAGAGAAAGATTATAACTTAAAATATATAATGTTAGGATTCTGATATGGTTTAGAAATTTACCTATTAAAGATGCACACTAAGAATAATATTTAACAAAGTGTGAACTTGGTCCTGTGGAAAGATAAAACTTAGTAAGTTTCACGGAATATTCTTGAGTTGTAAGGGACTCCATAGAGTCATCAAGTCCAACTCTTACATGATTGGCCCATACAGGGATCCAACCCATGACCTTGGTGTTCTTAACATCATGCTCTAACCAACTGAGCTAATCTCATACCTCTCTGGAGCTGTGAGAGACGAAGAAAACATGCTTCTTTCCTTACTACATTATACAATCTCTCACTTCTTTCTTATGCTGCAAGGTTCTTGGCTTTGAGACTGTTAAACCAGTTTCAGATTTAAAGCAGGCTACCTGCTGACCCATAGCCTAGTTTGAGTACATAGTGGTGTGAAAAGGACTAGTAGTGTCAGTACAATAATACTTTATATTTAAATTCATCAAAAGACAATTTTTGAACAATGTTTTATGGGACAGTCTTCCAAGAAATGTCTGAACAGAATAAGAGTTTAGAGTTACACTAGTAAAAATACTGTAATGAACCTTCAAAGGGCGTTAGAGGTAGTTTTACCTTGTACCTCTACTTTGAGAATTTGACTTTTGTGACTGAGAATGAAAAAGACCTGTAAGTAATGGCTTTGCATGAAATGGAATAGAATAACAGTGCTTTGTTTTTTAGAATGTTTCTACCATGAGTATGTATCCTACAACAAGTGTGTGTTTGTTCGAAGCTATAGGTATGCTGTTGACACATATCGGTCTCACTAAATTCTAAGAATATTGCAAAGGAAGTTGCATACTTAACAGCGAAGAAGGTCATGCTAAAATGTCACCATGTTGACTCTATGGAATTACTAATATCTGAGAAGATCACAGTCATAATATACCCAAAAGGAATATCCTTACGTACTGTTCAGAACAAATGTGCCAACCATAGTCATCCTGCCCTGTTTTCTTTTTACTGAATACTTTTATTTTAAAATATTTATTAAGTATATCAGAGTATAACACAGTATTTAAAATATGATTTAATAATTTTGCTTGGGTAGACTACAGATGTGTAGATTTATTCTCTCTTGCCCTTAGAAGGTATTTGTTTAATGTTTTTGATGCCTATGTACAGTTTAAAAATGTTTTTAATTCATAAAAACATAAATTTTACCTGTTCCATTTGTAGGTCTCATGCTGTGGCATGCGTCAATCAATTTATCATCAGCAGAACTCAAGCTCTTATGTTGCACATAGATTCTTTTATTGAGGTGGGTGGGTATTCTTGGTTGAAGTTAAGTCGAGTGGCATATCTGATTTATCAAGAGTTTTGAACTATGTTTAACAACCACCTCTACCCCTAAACTCCCCATTTTTGTCTGCCCATTCTTAGCTTCAGTCCCCATGGATTAAAGTTCATTCTGTGTGCTTGTGCTCAGAGTTAACCACTCAGTAAGCCCCAAAAATAGATGTATTTTGAAAGATGATTCATTTTTATAAGTAGGGTAACATCTTGCTGTGTAAAGGTGCAAAAGTCCTGACAGCAATCTGTCTCTTACCTGTCCTGGAATGTGCATGTCACTGGGCCTGTTTGTCTGTCTGAATACTGCTACTAAACATGGATGAGAAGGATGCTGAGTTATCTAGACTGTTTGATTTGCTACTCTTATGTACTGACACAGTTCTCTGTTTACTGATGGAATTTACATTCAGGAGGAAGAAAAAATCCAGGAAGTACTGTGCCAGTGTTAATACTACACAGTGCCATGGTTATGTGTAAAATATGTTGGGAGTGTGAAGAGTTAATTTGCTTTAAGAAATAAAATAATATTCTGAGGTGTGGGGTAGGCGAGTACAGAAGTACATATTTGCATACAGTTTGCCAGCAGTGTCAATTTTAATACAAGTTGAACTTGATGAATAGAGGTTTTTCAACTGTTACTGTTTCCTAACAGAATCTTTTTGCACTGGCTGGTGATGAGGAGCCTGAAGTACGCAAAAATGTTTGCCGTGCTCTGGTAATGTTGCTGGAAGTACGGATGGATCGCCTTCTTCCTCATATGATTAGTATAGTTGAGGTGAGTCACATTTTCTAGATTGCCTGCAGATTCTACTCTTTGGAATTGCAGAGGTATTAACAAATAAAAATCATTTATCAGAACAGCTATGTTACTCTTGCGCTTGCCTACTCTTCCTCTCCCTTCAAGACTGAGATTGCAAAAATTTCTTTTTATCTAGTTGCCAACTTGATGCTGTGTTTGACAGGCACTGTATATGGCAGTTGTTTATTTTTCATTAAAATAATTATCCCAGAATGACTGGGATCAAAGTCAAGGCATTGCTTGACCCTAAATGAGAAGATTTTGTTAAAAATGTAGCGCTGATGCTGGTACTGCCCCAGTTTACACATTGAAGTTGTCACTTTTTTGGATGTGTTAAGCATAATAAGGATAAGCCATGTTATCTTATATAGCTGAGGTGCTCTTTGAGCTAGTTTTGAAAAAGTTCTAATTTAAATATTTATTTCTATGTTGTGTAGTACATGCTTCAAAGGACCCAGGACCAAGATGAAAATGTGGCTTTGGAGGCTTGTGAGTTTTGGCTGACTTTGGCCGAACAGCCAATTTGTAAAGATGTATTATGTCGGCATCTTACTAAGTAAGTATTAAGAACTACAATTCATTAAACTTAAAACTTCTGTTGACTTGTTCCTGGGTACTCTGTTATAGAGACCGTATCTACTTTGCAGTATATTTAGATGAATTTTTCTATAGCTAGTTCTTGTGCATAGTATAATTGAAAAGACTTCTGAAGATTTCAGACCCAGTGAACTCCAGAAACAACTGTGTCACTGTAGTGCTTTGCCTGAAATTTAACAAGCTGTTAAGCTTCCCATGGATGCAAACATGCACTTACACTCAAATAAACATTTGCACATGACATTCATTACCTATAATACCTCGTGTGCCATGAATATGTTGTCTTAATTACTGCTGATGTGGGCCTCTCTGTGCAATGATTCTGTGTGCATAGTTGTGCAAAAAGTTCCTCATTTTAAAAAGTGCATAAGACAACAAGATTGCAATTTAAACTTGAAGAAAGCAGGTAGAATTTGTTCCTTCATACTTCTGCAGCCTGGTAAGTTTCAAAACCTAGTTTTTCTAACTAGTTATCCTATGCCTCAAAATATAGAATTTGTTTGAGTGGGAGTGAATATCCACATGTGAAGCGTAAACATCTGCATGCCTGCAACAGTGCCTGTAACTTTCTCCAGACTAATCTGAAGTCTTTTACAATAGGAAATTAATTCTTCAGTGTTGCCAGAAAATGAATACTCTTTCTTCTCATATATGCACAGAAGTTTTTTGAAATTTCTAAGACTCAAGATTTTGAATGGAAGAACAGAATGACAGATTGAAGGGACACAATATTCTCAGCAAAAATAAGCACGGTAGCTGTGAAGTAAATTAAAAAAAAAAAATAAAAAGGAGGAAAAGTCCAGTTTCCATAAGCAATTTAGAAAGTAGAAAACTGAGATTAGAACATCACCCTGTAGCAGAGAAGGGATAGAATTAAAAACAAGAACCAATGTTAAGAGAAATGATTTTTAAATCTTAAAATGGTCATACTTAATTCTACTTTTGTAGTTCAAAAAGTAAAAGAATGATAGTACCATTCCTAAGTTCACCTATTCCCAACACACATTATGTAGTTAATAACTACAGTATGTTACTGTATAATGTATACAGTATATAATATATATAAACTGTTAGTATTAAACCCCTTTTAGCTACTTGAACATTGACACTGCAACACCACCATACTCAATTTAAAAAAAAAAAACTTTTTAGAAAAAGCTTTAGAAGCTTATTCTAGAAAAACAAATTAATAAGAATAATATTACTTTTTTTTTCCCATGATCTTTCAATGCCATGTGTGTTGAAGGCACGTTTTTTTGGTGGAGTTCTCTTTGAGTAGGGAGCTATGTAAGTTTGCTAATACTTGATAATCTTAAAATTTTGTATACTAAATTAAAAATGGGACAATATTTTCTTAAAACATGTTCATGTGATATCTAACATTTTGTTCCATTTTATGCTTATAGCCTGTCTTATAAAATGCATACTTCTCAAAGTATGCTACAGAAAAGCCAGTGAATTTGTGATAATGTCTATACTTGCTATTCCTTCATTCACAGTTTAGAAGGTAATGTGCCAGTGCAATGGGTGAGCATGCGTGCAGGCCTTGCACCTTCAAAAAGTCATCCTCAGCTGCAGAATATAGCAAGTTTGAGTCTGTCCCTGTTGCTGGGTCATCCACTGTCATTAGCTTCTTTTGGCTTGTAACACATATGATGGATTTTTTTGTTGTTGTGATGAACGTGTTTCTATGTGAAATATTTTACTTTTTTCCCTTAGTACTTTTTTAGCTGTATATCTGTAGAGTTGGAGTCCCATAACCAGTTTAATAATGAAGTAAAACCTAATACAGATTAGTCAAGATCTCTGCAATGTTGGGGTCTTGTTTTACAGAAGTAATATCACAAAGTGATAGGAGGGATTAATGTAGTTAGGCCTCCATTTTTAACATTAATGAGGTAGAGTCTTCATCCACAAATAAATAAAGTGACAACCTCTGGATGTAATTTCTGAAAGGTGCTTCAGAACAAATTCATCAGTTGCGCCATCTGGCTGCTTCTGTCTAAAAGTTTGTAATTTGAAATTAACACATTTTCTCATTACAGAGTATTGATGAATCTTATGATACGGAGCTTGGTTGAGTACTAGCTTTTGTTATAAGGCTAAGGTTTTTCTTTTGGGTTGGGAGGTGAGGGTTACAACCAAGATTATGGCCTGTATAACTGAAAGCTGGCTTGCCTTTTTATGTGTTATTTTAACATACATAAATATTTCTTTGTAGGCTGATACCTGTGCTGGTAAATGGTATGAAATATTCAGAGATTGATATAATTCTTTTGAAGGTGAGTATCAATTTCATTTACTCTAGAGGAATAGCTGGTTAGCTTCTGACCTATAAAGCAGAATGATTCAGATCAGAATTGGTAGATCTGGCCTACCATCTGTTCAATGGAGAATTAGCTTTCTGGGGCAAGGTACGCTGTTCCAAATACTTAATGCAACTGCTGCTATATAGTTTGTTGGAAAATAATTTGTGGCTCACCTGCTTTGCCCCAATCCCATCCCACCCAATTTAGGCAGAACTGGGATATTATTACCATGAACTAATTCAAGAGTGCAGCCTAAAAAAATGTTGAGAATTAATGCTAATGCCTTCCAGATTGAATACATGGCTTTTTCCATGACTGCATTTCAGAATATGTTCATGTACCAGAATTTCCCTTTTATTTCTTTCTATTTCATTCCCATTGAGTAATTTTGGAACAAGGATACTTTGTGGGTGAGCATGGATAAGAGTTTTTGCTTGATTCTTCTTTCTTATATTTTTTTTTTTTGCTTGATTCTTTGCTTGAATCTTCTGTCGTCTTTCGGGTAAATGCCGCAGTAGAACAAATGCCCAGGAGCACTGGAATTTTGTTAGCTGGGTAGCTTAAGTGGGATGTGACTCTTCTATATATTTACAAAGTCTTGAACTAAAACTACGTTGTTAACTTCCTTGATCAATATAGTTGGACTAGTTTATCTGATAAAGCAATTTGATGACAGGGGGATGTTGAAGAAGATGAAGCTATTCCAGACAGTGAGCAGGACATAAGGCCTCGTTTTCATCGTTCAAAGACGGTGGCTCAGCAGCATGAAGAAGATGGTATTGAAGATGATGACGATGATGATGATGAACTCGATGATGATGATACTATTTCTGACTGGAATTTAAGTATGTCAAAGTAATGTGTAAAATGTTTTAAAATAGATCAACTTGCATAATACTTGGAAACCACAATAAGAGGAGGAGTTTGTGTATAGGAATACTGAGTCTTTGTTTTTGAATACAGAAAGTCTTTCAAATGACATTTTGACTTTGGAGCTGCATTGGCAAAAGCTATCCGTCTGTAAGCTTATTTTTTAATTTCAATATGGCAGGTTGAGCTAAAAATATGTAGTTGATGCAATTCAACGGAGCTTTTGGACTTAGAATTTTAATTCTATGAGATAATAAAAATCATGTATCACCTGTTTAACTTCAGTTTAAAAGGAGGAAAAAAATCTTTCCACACTGTTAAGTGGAGCAAGCTTAATAATGCTTTCTTTAATTTCAGTCTTCTCTCTGAAATTGGTTTGTGTTTAGTTTTGGGTTTGTTTTTTCTTCCCCATGTGAACATGCTACTACCTCTGGCCATTACTAGTAGTTCTTTTCCATGTGAAGAATTTGTATCTGACAGAATACAGTTCCTTAGTTATGAAGAGAGGAGATAGCTGTGAGAAAACCATAATTCTGGTGGCCTTTATGTGTGTCATTAGGACCTTTCAGGTAAGAGGCCATGTTGTAAGGAAAGAAGATGCCACAAACTGGTTTTTAAGTTCAATGATAAAAAAGAGCTAGTGAAATTTTGACAAATAAGATTTGAATATGTTTTGCAAACAACGTCACTGTGGACTAATGTTTTGAGATTTGAACATAGCCACATTTTTCTTTCTCCAAGGCCACAAGTTTTCACAACAGGTGAAAATACCTTCAGGATTATGGTTAAACAATTTAGAAATGTTTCTGGAATGTTGTTATTGTTGTTGTTGAAAATATGAGTGCAAATATACTTGTTTCTGTAAAGCTGCTTTTTGGGGAAAAAACCAGAGTTTTAGATTCCTAGTGCTGTTCTTGTCAGTGTTATATATAGAGATTGCAGAAATAAGTACATATTTTCTGAAGAAGATAGCTCAAATAAATAAGGTGCCCCGTGATGCACAGTTTTGATTAAGATGGCGAGAAAGCTGAAGTTGTTCAGAAATAGTGGCCTGGAAGAGAAATAGCAGAGCAGTTTAGAAATCTGTAATGACATATGTTACCTGGATTTCAGAAAATTTTTGTTATCTAAATATCAGATATGTACCCTATTTCTTATCCAGTGTTCTGTATTTGACTTCCAATTTGAACAGAAAGGAAGCATCAACACAGCTCGACAGTAAGAAATATTGCTTACTGATGAGACCAGTGTGATCCTTTGTGAGAGATTAAGAAGGAACTGATATTGTAATAATAATGGCTTTCAAAAATCTGTGGCTTTGCAACAGAGCATGGTGGATCACTGTGTATTGTAATGAAATGGAATGCACTCCTAATGCACTGAGAATCCACTGGCAGCTCAAAATAAGGATTATATTGTCTAACTACAGCATTTATATAATAAGCAGAGATTTAACACTGTTAATTCCATTCAGGGAAATGTTCTGCTGCTGCTTTAGATGTCCTAGCCAATGTATTTCGAGATGAACTTCTGCCACACATCTTGCCCCTGTTGAAGGAATTGCTCTTCCACCCTGAGTGGGTAGTTAAAGAATCTGGTATCCTCGTTCTTGGTGCAATTGCTGAAGGTAAGGCAACAGTGCATATCAGGTTAGCAGATCAGGTGAATTTACTTATGCAAACAAGTATATGTTCTTAGCTGGTTTAGTTTCAGTGATTAATCTCTACATCTACTAGTAGGTGACTGCAGTTATTTTATTGTTAATTTTCAAATTTATGCATGTTTAGGAGGCTAAATTGATTACATAATTTCTTTTGTTTCTCCCTGTCTTAACTCTGCAGCATACAGTTGTTGATCTCTCACTAAATACTACCTTGATTTTGTAGAAGATATTTTTTTAAAGATGTTTTTCAGAAATGGAGAAGACCACTCAAGTGACTTTAGTATCCTAAGCTGCCTTTTGTGGATGGTTCCCCAGTAAAAATACAATAACTTCCATTCCTTTTTACCTACTCACAGTCTTGTTTGGCTTTTTGCCTGACGTTTCAGCATCTCTATCAGCATCTTCTGCAGGCTGAAAAGTACATTTGGGTCCATGCCTGGATTATCTTTCTTTTCCCACACAGTCTAGTGGACCTACTTT